CTTGACCTTATTGAATAGTTGTTAGCCGAAGGGGCCAAATCGCCTACTCCTGCTCCAAATCCACATGCACACGTGTAAGAGATTTATGTGAAGAAAATATAGAGCTTTGAACCCTTTCATAGGAGACCATGTGGCTGGGGGGGTCTCTTTGAAAGACCTTTCGAATTAGCCTCATCCCTCTGTTACGTCCCTGAGTTCCTGAAAGCTTTTCCTTTTCAAGAATATATTCATTTCTCTGTTGGATCCACTCTCACATTTCTTTCAGGCAGAGCATTCCAAATACTAATAACTTGTTGCTCAAAAGAAAACTCCTTCCCTCCTTCTGGTACTTTTGTCAATTATCTTCAATCTGAAATCTCTCGTTAGCGATCCATCTACCAGTGAAAATGATCAATATCTTCATATCACTGAGTACCTCCGTTAAATCTTCCTTTAGTCTCTTCTGGTCTACTTAGGACAATCTCAACTTCACATTTCTCTCTCTTTAAGTATTTGGTCCAATGTATCATTCTAGTAAATTTCATTTGAATATTTCCCAAGGCCTTGACATCCTTCCTAAGTATTATGCCTCAATTACAACATTCACTAGCTCAGGTATAGATGATGACAGCTAGCACGAAAAAATGTATTCCAGAACATTACTTTGTGCACTATTTTTGGGATCCTGCATGTATGTTTATCACATTGTGGAATACTCTCTATCATTATTGCTGTAAATTATTAATTTGTAAATTCAATTAAATGTATTATATTTTCTGTCATTTGAAATATCAAATACAATGACAGTGATCATATATAAATTCCAAGAAGTAACACCTGTTCCATTCTGGATTAAGTTTTGAGCTCATTTTTCAGAGCGAAGGGTGCTATATAAATGAAGTTGTTAATTGATTGATCTGGGTTACAAATCTGTTTTCAAAAGCAGAAAGTAAACAATGTCTTAGATTTCAAATTATAAGGAATAAATTTGGTTTATGGAACATTGGTTCAGCTGGAAAATAATGTTGTAAATAGATATAAGGTACACCGTGAAATAACAGTTAAGTGATGGCAAATTTAGGTCTTAACAGCTGATACACAACAAGTGACAGCACAGACTTGAAGAGCTTCACAGTGCTGTGGCCTTAGAGAGAGTTATTGTGGATCTACTTTTGTGAAGTATCGAACCAATAAATTCAGGATTATTTTTGTTCATACATTGATTCCTGTAATTCCTTTATTCATTCACAGGACAGGGGCGTTGCTGGCCAGGCAGCATTTATTGCCCATCCCTAATTGCCCAGAGGACAATTAAGAATCAACCACATTGCTGTGGGTCTGGAGTCACATGTAGGCCAGACCAGGTAAGGATGGCAGTTTCCTTCCCTAAAGGACATTAGTGAACCAGATGGGTTTTCCCCCGACAATAGATTTATGATCATCATTAGTCCCTTAATTCCAGATATTTATTGAATTCAGATTGCACCATCTGCCATGGCGGGATTCAAAACCAAGTCCCCAGAATATTATCTGGGTCTCTGGATTAACAGTCTAGTGATAATACCACTAGGCCATCTCCTCCCCTGATTGTTGAATTAAATGCATTTTTTTTAACTTTAAAAGCTCAGCTGTATTAACTGTGTATATTAACAAAGGATAAGGGTCCTGTCCACAGATGGGGGTCAGCGGGTAGTTAAAATTTCAAGAATTGGATTGACATCCTCAATCCACCTCCATGGATCTACTTCTGGTTTTAACACAGGCAGCCTGGAGGCGTGGTTAAACTGATCTCCAAAGAAAGGTCTGCCATTTAAACATGCTAATCATGGTTTGTATCTCAAGTTTAACATATCTTGTAGGTTTCATTGTTATGTGCAGGGCTTCTAAGCATTCAGGAAATCAGGCAGCTGAAGGGAAATGATAAATCAAGATAAATAAGATCAAGATAAATGCCTTTACAGCACTTGCTAATGGATCACACAATAATACACAAGAAAAGGATGTGTAGATCAGACAGCCCATCAAGATTGTTCTGCCATTCAATACAGTCAGGTCTGATCTTCAGCTTCAATTTTCTGTGAGTCTCCATATCTCTAATATTTTTAACAATGGAGCATCCACAAATTTCTGGGCTTGATAATTCCAAATATTCATTACTCTTGAGTGAAATAGTTTCTCCTCACCTCACTTCTAAATGATTGGCCATCCCACTCCCACAGCCTTCTTGTTTGCTAAGTGCTTTGGGAATCTTAATGTCTTGGAAGGCTTTTTAATAGAACTGTTTTGTTCATAATTTTCTCGATGTGAGTGAAAAGAACTCAAGCCCTATTTTAGCATTTCCTCATTACCGAAGCTCTGTGACCTTGGTATCATTTCATTAACTCCTTTATTCTCTACCCTCTCCATCAACCCTTGCTAGACCAAGTCACTCAAAATGGGGTGAAGTCTGTTTTGGAGAGTAACACAATGTGGGCAATAGCAAATTGGCAACACATTATATTCCACACAATTTTCTTCAGGCAGGATATCAAATAGGCTCCTGGTTTGTAGTCAGCCACTTCATTATCCAGGATGAACTTCCTACCGTTATATTTTAATTTTGGTTCAAATACCCACATCCCATAAACAAATTGAAAGAAATCAATTATTTGAATACTTTAATGTCACCTAATTGTTTTTGCTTTCTTTCTGCTCTCTTTAAAGAAAACATGGTTGCATCAATTTGTCCTGTTGCTCCTAAAAATGTTGACATCAGTAAGAACATTCAAAATGGGCACAAGATATGCTGACAAATAAAACCTTTTTGTTGTATTTGCATACCTACATTGGCTTCCAGTCAAGCAACATC